CCCTCCCTCCCGTTTTTCTGCAATGTCTTCTAAACCGCTTAACGTATCAGCACGAAACTAGCGATACTCTTCAGCGGCATCAATTTCACACCTTGTGTCCAAATTTCCATCCACTTTCTAACTACCATAGGTCGACCGGAAATGACGTGACGTCACGGACGGCACATGTCAAGGATTGACACGGTCCCGGCCTACCTAGCCAGGCGGGTCGCCGATGGGGAGTACAACAATGTTTTATGCTTATTTTTGCTTGTGTTTTTATGTGAATTATTTATACAATTACAAAAATATATCTTTTGAATTATTCAAAAAAGGGACCTACGAAATTTTTCGGAAATCTTTGAGTAAAATAGACCATAAAACATGTGTCACGAGACCGATACATGATATAAAACTTCCGAGGCCTAGGATGACCTGACTTTGACCTTAAAAGTTCGAAGTACAAGGTTGGTACCCTCAGGGTATCTAAGGCATATATCAAGGAGTACGTAAACCAAAAATGAGCTTGATCGGATTTGTGAGCCAGCGGCCAGAGCCTAAATGGTGTACAAGCCAAAATGCTAATAGTTTTACTTTGATCTGACCTGTGACGTCATTGTGACGTCCAAATCAATGAAAATAGGTTTTGCACGATATTTTTTCCAGGGCTATTAGAAGGCGTTTGAATTTTGACGATCGGCCCAGTAGTTTCGGAAATAGGAAGGGGGAGGGTCTCTGTAGAGGTCCCCCCCCCCCCCCCAGTCACTCGCGTTATGGAAAATATTCCAGTCATGCGCGGGCTTATATGTGTCTCTCGCTATAAGGAGAAATCAAAATGTTGTCATGATTTTTAATGAAACTGGAGTCGCCTCATACGGTATGTGTACGCTGTAGTATGTATAACTTGGATAATTGGATCCATAAGCCGTAAAAAGTCACGAAGAAGAGCAGTTTCACACTGAAATAACAAGCCATGGTTCTTTGTGCAGCGATGTGCCCAATCAAACGAGTCTCCGGGCATGCGAAAGCCGTCCCATGACTTCGGGCATCGCCTGGAGATGGGATCGTTTCTCAACGATATTTAAAATTTCCCCTAAAAAACTGTCCCACGGTTATATAATTAAGTTCATTGAACTCTTTGTGGTTTGTGCTCCGTCAGTGTCATTCACATTAACCCGCGCACGACTGGGGTATTTTCCATAACGCGGTTGACTGGGGGGAAGCTCTACAAAGACCTTCCCCTCCTATCTTCAAAACCACTGGTCAAAATTCAAACGGCGTCTGATAGCCTTAACCCGCGCCCCACTCTGGGGGGGGGGGCTATTCATAGCCCCCTCCCGTTTTTCTGCAATAACTTCCAAACCGCTTAAAGTATCGACGCCAACCCTTCAGTACCTTCGGCTGCATCAATTTGACACCTTGTGTCAAAATATGAGCTTCGTAGCTATCATAGGTCGGCCGTAAATGACGTCAGAGTAACGTCATGTTCGGCCGATTTCGACGCAAAACATTGAACCACGGCAATCGCTCCCAAGAGCTCAGTTTTTAAGCAAGATCCAATTTCTTTACATAAGAGGACTCAGAATAGACTGCGCTATCAAACTGCTATCTCGGATTTTCAAAATATTGAAAATTTTGAAAATTACCTATATAGAATAAATTCAAAACTTATATTCTTGTCTTTTTTCAAAAACTTTTGGCTTTTCGAAAAAAAAAAACGGAATTTATGGGATAGACCACATGCTTAAAATTTACTCTAGCAAGTTTTAGCTAAATATCTTCAAAAATGGCCAAGTTGTACGCATTATTGCAAAAAAAAATTACAATTATGAATTTTTCAAATCAACTTTTCAGTACGCATTTGGCATCGTACACCAATATAAATAGCACCATCGTGTTCCAGAATCCTGAGCTCAAACTGCATCCATATATACATCCTTTTTTGTTGAAAAATTTTAACTTCAAAATTTGACCTTGTTTGACCTGAAAGTGACCTGACCTGAGCTAACTTCAACTCAAAATGACCTCGAATGACACCGACGACATCAAATTCGAAATCTATGGCCTAAATGGACCACAAAACATGTGTCACGTGACTGACGCATGATATAATATTTCCGTGACCTTTGATGACCCGACCCGACCCTGACCTGAAAATCAAAGTACAAGTTTGGTAGGTACCCTCAGGGTATCTAAAGGATCTGTTCACGAGTGTGTAAACCAAAAATGAGCCTGATCTGACTTGTAAGACGGCGGCCAGAGCCCAAAATGTGAACAAGCCGAAATACTAATAATGTTTACTTTGACCTGACCTTTGACGTCATCGGTGACCTCGAGGTCAATGAAATTAGGTTTCGCTCGACAGTTCTTCCGGGGCTATCAGACACCGTTTGAATTTTGACGATCGGCCCAGTAGTTTCGGAGTTAGGAGGGGGGCTATGAAGAGCCCCCCCTCCCCCCCCCCAGTAGGGCGTGTTATACGCAGACCCCAGTGCAGTGGGGCGCGGGTCAAACAAAGCGTCGAGCGAAATCTAATTTCATTGACCTCCAGGTCACCGTTGACGTCACAGGTCAGGTCAAAGTAAAAAATTTCAACGTTTTGGCTTGTTCCCAATTTGGGTTCTTGCTGCCGGGTTACAAGTCCAACTCCGACCACGGCGACCAGGCTCATTTTTGGTATACACACTCGTTAATATTTGCCTAACCCGGTACCGCCTGGGCTATTTCCGTACCCACGACAGCCTGGGGGGGGGGTCCCCCTGTTATCTCGAGAACCAATGGTCGCATCGAGCCCCGCGAGGCGGCGTTCGAAAGGTCTGTACGAGACCTTCCCAAAGCACTCTTAAGATTTTGAAATTGAGGTCAACTTTCGGGTCAAGATCAGGTCAAAGGTCAAATTCTGGGGTTTTGCATGATTAGGCTTACGGACAGCGGAATCGATAGCTGCTGCTCGAAACTCACCAAAAATGACCTCAAAGGCCTAGTGAAGGTACCATGTGCGTATAGGGGTCATACTAAGTACGGGTCAAGGTCAGGTCAGGTCACGAAAGGTCACGGTTTTCACTTTCTGCTACATGGGCGTGCGACACATGTTTTATGGCTTATTTTTCACGCCGAATCCGATGGTAATGATTATATGTGACCCCAAGTCACTGTGCTGGTGATAAGTGTGCATTGAAAGCATAAAAATTCGTTTATACCATACATAACTAAACGAGGGCTGAGAAAAAAGGTCAATTTTTCAACTTTTTATTTTTGACATAAAAATGTTTTTTTTTCTAGACGAGCTTTGTCCCAGGAATCTATTGGTGCCATTTGTTTTCACATGCGATGTTCAAAAGTGCCTCTAATTCACGAAAATGCTTATGACGTCACCATGCCCTATGCATGTTGGAGCTATTTTTACAATTTGGGGGTCAAAAATCAAGATAAAAGTTGAAATTTGGGACATCTAATGTTCTAATAGAGCTCTATAACATATATTCCGGTTTTTTGGAAATTCTCAAAATTTTGGATTTTATTAGCTGTTTTCCGAAAAATGTAGTTTTTTGAATTTTTAGGGGTGAAAAACGCATTTTATGGAAAATCCGAGAAAACCATTTTAAAGAACTCGTTGAGTTGCGTCTATTCATGTCCTTAATTTGCAATTTGCTTTAAACCCTGATTTTTGGCGATTTTTAAACATTTACCACTTTTTGACTAAAAACGCCATGTAGTTACATCACTAAAATCGATATATCTCAAATATTGTTGGATTTTTTTTTCTTAAAAATTGCACAGAAGACGTCAAATTGATGGGGGAGAAGGTATGCCAAGTTTCAAGTTGATAGCGTAAGCGGTTCTTGAGTTATTCAAGAAAAACGGAGGGGGGTCGGATCCGACCCCCCCCCCCCCCAGGCGGTCGCGGGCTAAGATACCCGACAGTACAAACTTATACTTCCAATGTTTCAGGTTAATCATAATGCCAGGTCATCCTAGGTCACAGAAATGATATAGTCACGTGACACATATTTCATTGTCCGTTTCAGCCATGGATATTTCGAAAACAGTGTCGTCTGTGTCATCTGAGGCCATTTTCATCTGATTAGCTAAGGTCAATCACTTTCTTTCAGGCCAAAAAGGTCAAATTTTGAAGATAAAATTGTTCAACAAAAAAAAAACGCATCTATTCAATGCAGTTTGAGCTCAGGAACACGATGGTGCGGTTTATTTTGGTGCACAATGTCAATAATGTATTAAAGTTTATCTAAAAATTGAAAATGGTGAAATATTGACTACATGTCTCGTAGAACCCATCTATTTTTGAAGATATCGGGCTAAAGTTTCCTACATTGAATCACCGGTGTATGTCCTAACACATATATTCCGTTTTCCGAAAAGTCAAAAGGTTCTAGGAAAAAAGTCAAAAAAACAACTTCTTAGATTCTATACGTATAGTTTTCAAAATTTTCAAAACCTGAAAATCCGAGATAGCAGTTTGATAGCCGTTCGTATTCGGAGTCTCTAATGCAAATAAATGGGATCTAGTTTAAAAACTGAGCCCTTGAGAGCGATTGCCGTAGTTCAATGTTCTGAATCAAAATTGGTCGAACATTGCGTCACTCTGATATCATTTCCGGCCGACCTATGGTAGCTACGAAATTTTATTCGGACACAAGATATCGAATGGATGCAGCTGAAAGTACTGAAGGTTTCGTGGCGCTCCGTTCAGCAGTTTAGAAGACTTTGCAGAAAAACGAGAGGGGGCTCTATACAGCCCTCCCCACAGCAATGCGCGGGTTAAATAAAAAACGCCTTGTTTGTAATGATCAGGTGTCATGATTTGTTCCTGCAATTACTTGTCTCAGTAACGATTATTTATCACAATGCCCCGGAGCGAATTCAAAACAACCTGACAAAAAGAAAAACTTCGATACACGTGTTTACCAGAGTTCAAAGAAACCTTCCGAAATCACATTTACCCACTGAGCCACCTAACTGACCTGCTCCACTGCGCGCAGTGTGTGTGTGTTGACACGCACCGGCCGGCGGCGCTCTGACCGGTCGATTGGGGTGGACTGACTGACTGCCACTCTACCCGTGCTGGTCCACCACCTGACACAAACACTGACACAGGGGCCCAGCCGCGGACCACACGCCCGGGCCGCCGCGCTCGATGGCCCAAGCGCGGTCCAAATCGGCCATTCTGACGTATGTAGACCCGACGTGATATCAATAACGGTCGTTACTACGTAAGTGCATACCAGTGACGGCCGTTGGAAAGTGCGTAAGTACGCGTTGGTCATTGCAGATGAGTGTCGGTCGTTTCGACGTACCAGTGTCGATATTCCAGTCGCACCAGTGTCATTCTTTCGGTTGGATCATTGTCGCCCAGTCGGCCGTAATGCAATGACGGAATACGTTAGCAGTCACGCGCTTACTTTTGGCTATGTTGGCCGTTTGAACGTAAGAAGTAAGAACATGCCACTCCACTGTCCTAGTTACATATATTCTGGCACGCCGGTACCTATTGGCGGCTCGGACTCGGTCAATGGAGGACCGAGCGATGGTACACCTCTGGGAGCGACTGTGGGTCACCTTTGGGAGCGGGATGGGTGACTAACTAGATCACATGGCCGCAGAAGGGATGGTGATAGGACGGCGGCAACTGGGAAAAAGACGCACTGTATCTAGAACATGACATTTGGCACGAGTATCAGCGTCCATTGAGGGCAATTTGCAGATGAATGGCCGGTTTTCCGCACGGCTTTGTATGCTCATTGGCGTAATAAAACTGGAAGGCTTTATACATCAAGCGTAGCGTAAAAGGAATCGAGAAATATGTCAATGTTTTTTAGATAATAATTTTATCGTTAGGTAAATGTGAGGTAGCGAAAATAAAACTAGCAATAAACCTGTAACTTCAACATTACGGTTTTTCCATATTCGCGTTGAAAATAGCACTCAGCAGTCAATATGATAGCACCATGGATAGTTAGTTTTTAATCCTGCAGTGTAAAGCTACGTGGTACTCCATGTGGAGGAGTGGCATCAAAGTATCTTTTATGTAGATTTCTACACAATATAAGCAAGCATTGCTAAATACTCCTAAACGGCTTTGAAAAGTTATCCGTAGATAAGATTAACTACGAAAAGATCAATTATGTCTAACAAGACAAAAATTAGAATCAAACTATTAAGCCTTTATCACCAACGTATCCACGCTTTCTTGAAATGCACATTGATTAAATATTATGTTCACTCCACCTGCAATGAGTTGTGAATTTTACAAGTAATCAATGAATGAATCATAAATGGGAATCCTCATGGAAAATAACAATTATATTATTTTACATCTAATTGTTTTTTATCTACGTCAGTTTTCTGTAAAAAAAAATGAAGGAGATAAGCAGAGACTGCTATTCCCATTGCTCACCATAGAACGACATTTAGATACAGGACGATATGCCGTGACATGCCGAATATAATATTAATTACCCCTCGTTATCCTGTCACATCCAATCATAACTGACCATTCATCTTTCCATCAATAACTGACAGTGTCATAACAACTCACCGTTGGTGTGAGGTCGGCTCCGTGCTGTGTCCTGTCACCACCAGAGCTGGGCCCCGCCTTCCGGAGAGAGAGGAGCACGCGCGAGAGGTGCGGCCACTCGTCCTCTCTCGTCTCCCGTCCGCCGCCCGCGGCTGGCCCACGACAGCTAGTGGCCGACAGGGGGCAGCCACGCCGGCTACATCCCTGCCCCCCCCCCCCTGAACTGATGAGCTGCTTCCTGATTACGACAGAATGCGTGAATCTCGCCCAGCGTCGTGTTTCAGATGGTCTCAGTAGGGCAAAGACGCCTCCGCAGGGCTGAAATGTGACCACGCTCTTCCTGGGGTGGGTTGTTAGAACGACGGAATCTACACCAAACGTGCTGGGTCAAAGCCGCCGTGACTGAGCCCCGTGAGAGGTCAAGGGTCGGGTGATCAGACGGCAGAAGCCAGCTTCATGGAGATCGTGGGCAGTGCATGAGAGACTCCGATAGTCAAAGTGGCGTGTGGCTTAGGGATCGCTACCGGCTTTCGACTGGGGTTCATTAATCAGGAATCGCATTTAATTTTGGTGGGCCCAACATATTCGCTTAATCAACCAATCAGCAGTAAGTGGTTGATTTGTCACAACTGTCAATCTGAATGTGTAGTTGGAAATACATCCTTCACGATTAAGAAAAAGTCGGGAATGCATTATTTTTCTGTAAACTTTTTGTTTTCAATCAACTTCTGACCTGCTCACGGTAACAAACTTACTCATGCATGATTCTTTTCGCTTTTTCGCTGTTGCTTTCCTTCAGCTAGACACTTTCTGCTATGTAGTTGAATTTTCGATAGATTTATATGCTAGAAAAAAAACAAGCGATTTTCTCATTTCGGCTTTTAAATACTAGTACTTTTCAACCATTTCAATGCACCCAGCAAATTTTGTTTCATTGAGGAGTGACATCATTTCTGTTTTTGTCAGCCGACTTTCATGCGTTCCTTCCTAAAAAGCAAAATTTTCAGTTCCTGAGACGAGCGTGCCTTCAACGCCGAACACCGATTGCCAGTTTGTGTGCTAACCAAACATTGAGACTGACGGAGCACACTCAATTCGGATTGATAATAAGAAAAATAAATTTCACGTGTGCTCTTGACCATTTATTCCAAAATGTAATCCACCACGGTAACCGTCGAGGGGAACAGTTGAGGGGGCGTTTAGACCGTTTAAGTTCGCCTATTTTGTTTTCATTCAGCGACCATGCTTCTGCGTAGAGTCTAAAACTGACTTTGTTTCAGTTACGCTCTGGTATTCGCCCCCATGTCCGATGCAGGCAAAACCCAGGCTCTCAATTACTGCAAACCCTGAATATTGGATGTGAGCGTGACGCATGCACATTTGACGTTACAAATATCATAGTGAACACTGTGCAAGTCTGATGCAGAGATTAAAGGACATGGGTTCGAGATGTCTTTGGGCGAGATCCTTCATTGAGAGCACTTGCAACTGCAAGATGTACAAGCCCTCAGCAAACTGCATGGTAGGTAGGTCTTCTTTTCTTCTTTTTTTTTTTTGACAAAACCGAGAATAACGCGAATACTATGCTATCGGTCACTCGGAAATCGTAACAGCAAGATGCGCGAGACTCCGCACCTTATATTGGGCTTATCATTGTATTCATTTTCCATCCAGTTTTACAACAAAGCCCAAAAGTTTACCTGTATTTGCCCACAAAACAAACTTTTGCATTTTGCTGTCATACAAGGCGTATATATAGTTTGCATACTGATAGACCCACCCGAAGTACAGGATTATGTCGCTTCTATTTGCAATGACTTCCGACCGACTGATAACATAGCCCTTGAGTTATTATCGGTTTTGTAGAAAAAAGGATACCTACCACGCAGTCTGCTGAGGGCTGTACGTACCCTTCCCTGGACACTGGACAGAGACCTTCCAACGTGGTGAAGAGAAGCTAATAAGCGTTTGCTTTTTCAGACGTGTATTCTTATAAAACGTCCACTTTTTCAGACGTGTAAGTGTTGTGCTAATTTGGGATTTTAAAAAATCGCATTTCAGTCGGCCGGCCTCGTGTTCCCCACGGCTCACGACTTTTCAGTGTACTTTGACCGGAGCGTTATAGGCCCATTGTCAGAGTCACTAGCTCCCAGCTTCACTCGCAGTCAGGCAGGCAGATCCACCGGAATAAAGGTCGGAAATCTCACGCGGGCTCGACTGTCTAGGCCAAGCCATAAAGGCTCTAGAAGCAAACACACCGAAAATCCAGACCTGTTTTTCTGCCGAATCATTGAAGTCGAAACTGGACCAAATCAACATGGAGGATGACTGGCCACTGCGTCTCGACAAAAACATCTCACTGGCGCCCTATGGTGCATTGCAACGGTGCCAGAAGATTTGAAATGGACGCGATGTTTCCCATTGCCGGGGTCCGTGGTTGTGACCCTACATATGTGAAAGCCGTATCGGAAGAATTATACATACATTTTTGGGTCGAAAAATAAAAATAGGTAGTCCATTGTCTTTACACGTGATCTCTAGCGCTTGGCTTATGGATCAACCTTGTTGGCTTGAATGCAAAATTTGAAATGTGACCTTTAATTGATATCTAGATGTGTAAGCTCGTCTTAGCAATGCTATACTGCGGTAAAGTTTCCAAACCAGTTGCCTGGCCTGTTCGTGTTGCATGAACTATTTTATTATCCAAATCGGTCGGGCAAATAGTTCTCTCTCTCTCTCTCTCTCTCTCTCTCTCTCTCTCTCTCTCTCTCTCTCTCTCTCTCTCTCTCTCTCTCTCTCTCTCTCTCTCTCTCTCTCTCTCTCTCTCTCTCTCCTCTCTCTCTCTCTCTCTCTCTCTCTCTCTCTCGCTCTCGCTCTCGCTCTCGTTCTTTCTCGCTCTCTCGCTCTCTCTCACTCTCGCTCTCTCTCGCTCTCGCTCTCGCTCTCTCTCTCTCTCTCTCTCTCTCTCTCTCTCTCTCTCACTCTCGCTCTCTCTCTCGCTCTCCCTCTCTTTCTCGCTCTCTCCCTCTCTCGCTCTCTCTCTCCCTCTCTCTCTCTCTCTCTCTCTCTCTCTCTCTTTCTCTCTCCACTCTCTCTCCAGTGGGCCCGCTTCCGAACAATAGGCTCGTCACTCCGGCTCTTTTATTTTTCGTGATTGTTTCGATGGGGGACATACCTATTTGCCCAGCACAACAACAAAATCAATGATCCGGAGCTACAATTGCTGACGAACGACTGATAAACTTACGATATGGAATATACATACGAGACACTATGCTTTAAAACATCTGCTTTGGAACTGCATAAGCATGACATGTTTCACCTACCTCAGCCATACAAAGTTGAATACGGGAGAAAAACATAAACAGGCACATTCACATCAGCGCTAACAGTATCTGTTTCTGATAGCCACGCCGACATTAATTTGTCGGTGTGTTGTCGAGAATCGTGAGCGTCGTGGACTCGTGAGCATTTACTAGTGCCTATCGACTGCTCTGAAGCACCATCATTACTTGAAGCTGAAGTGCGCATCTTTGCCATTAATGGGCCACGCGATGAAGCGGCCGCTTTCCATGTACTTCTTGATGTTGGGCAGCGCCTCGAAACGCTTCATCAGTCGCTTGAGGTTCTCGCATCCGTTCAGGAGCTCCGGCTTCATCGCCAGCCAGTTGCTCATCGAGTCGTAGGCCATGACGTCCACATAGGTGATGCGCTCGCCGAGGAACCAGCGGCGCGGCCCCAGGTAGTCGTCCAGCAGCTTGTAGAACATGGCGGAGCGCTCGGCCACCGCCGCCAGGTTCAGCTTGTAGTTCTCCGCCGTGCCGTGGCAGATGTCGAAAAAGTAGAGCCGCGTGTCCTGAACCTGTGAGAAGGGCGAGGAAAATTGCTTAAAAAGCTAACGATAACCACTTGAGACTGCATAACTTTTTTTGTTTTAAAGTCTGACATTATTAGCTGAGAACCGTTACCACAGCGAGGTGCTAAACTTCACAAATTTGGGCTTTAATGTACGGCTACCATTATAAAAGTGAATGGGTGGCCCTTTAGGCATTCGGGTCATTTGTTTCAGCGAAGGTGTGCAGCGAAGTCATAATAGTCTTAAATTTCTCGGCATGTATCCAAACAGTCGGCACCGTTTTTACGTTATCTAAAACACAGCCGGGACGAGTATCAGCCCCTCGACCGGACCCGGAGTGACGTTTCGGCAAATATAGAAAAGAGGACGGTTTTACATTCCATCTATTACTGACGTTGTCGTGTCCGGATGTTTATGCAGAATAAAACTTTCCACGGCATTACTTACCACTCCCTCCAGCATGTCCAGCTGGCGTGTTTCTTCTTCTGTAGTGGCCCCCATGTTGTACTTGCGCGCCAGGTAGCGGAGGATAGCCATGCTCTGGGTCAGTCGGATGTCGCCATCGTTGTAGTACGGCAGGTTCGGGAACGGCAGCTCGTGCGGGTTCTTCTTCTTTTCCTCAAAGTACTTCTCCTCGCCGTTCACCTGTAACGAGGTCATTTTGTCTTTAAATCACTGTGGATATCTAGAATTTGCGGTGACATGGTTATTTATCTGCGGTAAACGCTAACCTGCGCCCGGGTTGGGGCCTCAGCCATTCTAGCCATGGTGAATCGCGCTTTAGATACTTTGCCACGCCCGTTGCATATCTCGAAAACTCATTAGATGAAAAGACGCAGAAAAAAAGAGAATACCTACCATTACAGGCTACAATATGCATTTTTAATCCGTATCTTTTTATAGAATCATAAAGTCATATTTTGCCCTGATGGGCATCAGCTCAATTAGTGATATGAACCATATAATTTGGATGAAGTTCATGTCAAGGTCAGGTTCAGGTAAGGACAAATTTTGAAGTTGGTTTTTAAGACCGGAAATGGTGTCAACCTGGTGCAATTTTTCACCACGAATCGAATGATAGATGGATGATTGTTAAGAGCTTCAGGAAAATGTTTTTTTTATGTCGGGACGCAACTAAAATATCTGTAATTCCTACATTTTTGGACTGACTTGACTAAAAATTGCAATGTATAGGCTCTTATAGAACACACAATCAGTTTTATATGAAACAGGGCACAGGTCAAATTGATGTATGATAAGGAACTGAAATTACGGAAGGGGTAGATTCTGCCACCCCTTCCCCAGCGGGTCGCGGTAAATACCGGGGTGTTAGCCATCCGTCCAGTAAAGCCAGCTTCAACAACGCCCAGCCGATAGGTGTGTAGACTTTGGTTGAAAAGAACTTAAACATGAGCGAAGACATATAACAAACAAACAAAATTACGTGTTTGTCACACGATTGAGCATTACGTATTTCTTACCAGATCGACCCTGTCGTCGACGTAGTCCTCTCCGACCAGCTCCAGCAGAAGGCGCGGGGCCTGACCCCAGCCTCGGATGGTCCAGTAGCCGAACTGGGAAGGCATGCTTCTCTGACTGACACTGCGACGGAACAGAACAAGCCCAGAGCGCGACCGTCCCCCTCGCCGGATCGCAGCCAAGTGCGGTCTCAGAGCGGTCGGTTCCATGGGAGGACATCTCTCGCGGGCGATTTGCCAAAGTCATCCCCTCGACACCCCAAGGCCAGGCATTGAGCAGAATGAGCAAGTCACGGTGCGCCACCTCCCAACCACCAATCAGAGCTCGTCCTTCATCGACCGCGCGCTTCCCCCGCCAGGAGACACGCTATGGTAAGCGCTCGCTGGCGGGGTTTTGGCCCGCGACCAGCCGAGTCATTGCTCTCCAGAGTGGCTTGGCTGCCGCCTCAGCCACCAGCGCTGGGGCGGCGTGACAACGGCGCTCCGGGTCAAACGATGACAGAGGCCATCTGTGTTTGTTCAGTGGATCGGGTTGGGGTCTTGGGGAACGACGGGACTATTTAGTGCCCCAGGCGCCGTGCCTAGCGATTCACAGCACTACTGGTCCGTTGAACGAGAGTGTTCGGGGCCTCAGCTCTAGCAATCGAATTCGGTTGTATGAAAATATCCAAAAGTACAGCTAAGAATATGCTCTGCCCTTGCTCCTCTAGGCCTTGAGCCTCTGCAGTCGAGGGAGTTGGTGCCATCCTCTATCCAGACTTGTGACCAGCTCAGTTGAGCCGGCTAAAAATCAGCCCAGCTCAGGAGCCGGCTCAACATTTTGCCATATTGTTGAGCTGTGAGATGAGCCGGCTCAGTAATGCATTGAGCTGAGCTGCTGTCTGAGCTGAGCTGAATGAGATTGAGCTGAGCTGAGCTGATTGAGCTGAGCTGAGCTGATCCAGTGAAATTCTGTTCAGTTCATGCTTGGAAAATCACAGCCAAAATTTGGACCAAATCACAACTTAATCAACTTATTGCCTTGCCTACACTGTAAAAAAAAACTTACAAGCCCCTCGTAGAGGAATTCTCAGCGCAAAAATAACATTGCAGGAGCGTGTAAATTTGGCTAATTTTAGGCTAGTTGCCGAGTAACAAGCTTGTTCGACAAGGCTGTGCCTCGTATGCATACGACCACCGTGCTCCACCTAGTTTGACAACACGCACGTAAATAGCGTGGGTAGTGCGTCTACTAGGTGTCATAACAGCCCCTGCCTGGTAAGGTAACTAGCCACTGCCTACTAATCCATACCCAGTAATGGTACTAGCCCCCAAGGCTAGTAATGGTACTAGCTCAAGGCCAGTAGTGGCACTAGTTAACTAGTACCACTACTGGCCTTCGGGGTCGAGGCACGGTCGACGGAATTCCGTCGACCAGTGCCCCCGACTCTCGACCGCCACCCGCAAGTAAACAGACTGAGTAGCGCTGCAGCACATTTATTCGGGCACGAGAACGAGAACGAGAACAATAACAACGCCAGGACAATAACTATAACTTTAACAACAACAACAACAACAACAACAACAACAACAACAACAACAACAACAACTAACTGAATAATTTTCAATAAGGTTTCTTAAATAACCACCATCAAACATTTGTGATTTTTTCATTAGCTCTGCACCGGCGGCAGTCGCGGGGTGCAGGTAGGCCAGGACATACATGGCCCCATTCTTCACCAGAGAAGTCTGTAATGGGTGAAAAAACGAATATTAACATTATTATTATCATAAGGCATACCAATCTGGAAAATGATTAAATTAAAGTTGAAGAAAGTGATATATTCCTGCCACAAGCTAGCTTAAGTCCCAAACATATAGCTATTCTGACTTGGATAGACGATACCGGCGCACTTCTGCCAACGACGGGCAACATTATGCGATACTATATACATCTTCTAAGAAGCTCAACAACATAATAACCTTTGTTTACAAATGGACAACCTTTTTGTTGAGCACACAGCAAATGATACAAGATGCCTCACCTTCAATCAAGCCAAAGAGCAGTTGGGCAGACACACACAGCAATGGCGACGCAACACAAAATGGACGCCGGCTCCCGGAAGCGGGGGGGGGGACTCCTTCTGAAAGCAGCCACAGACTCCTAGGTTGTAACATGCGACGAGGATAGCTATGAGGCACATCCTCATAGCCATCCGAAGCCGCTTACCACGCAAGCTTGCCAGCACGTTTACCAGCTGCAGGCGTTCGTGACAACAAGCGGGGTTGCACGCAAGGTTATCCGTTTAGTAGGTGCCAGCCGGGGCCTCGTCAGCTGAGCTAATAGCGAAATGACCTAATTGAGGGACACGCTAAAAACTGGCCGAGAACAAGCCAACGGCGGGTAACACTGTGAGGCTGTGCGTAGTTCATTAACACTGCGCAAAATTAGGTTCCTGAACATGTTCTCGCTCGTAGGCATTTGTTCCACAAGCGGCATTGTTAACGTGCATGGCTCTGACTACTAATGTCCATATATGTTGTAACGAGGAGCAAGGGAGGCACTCGTAAAAAATGCCTAATTTCAAAATTAGCTAGTGAATTTTTTTTACAGTATACTCTTTATTTTAACAAGGAATTAAGAAGCCCTGCATCTGATGACATTGGCATGCTCTTGCTCGATAGCCCAGGACTCTAGCTCCAATTTACAGACAGCCTGAATTGTTTTCGCCATGTTTCCATGGTGCTCAAGTGCCAGGCGTGTCGCGTGAGTGCACTGCAATGATTGTCTTTGGTGCACACTGTGATATATAGCCAAGAACAGCTCATTTGATGTAGTCTGAGTCTGAGAAGACCTTTACCATGACTCGTTAAGTCTCAATGTTGCCGCCCTTTATGAGCTTCTCTTTAGCTCAATGTCATGTGTAAGGAAGTTCAGGAAGCTGCCTCGCTCCTTTTTAGAGGAGACTTAGGTACTCTTAACCCTCGCCGGCACAGGCCATTTTGCGTCATTCGACGGCACAAGGGGGGGGGGGCTGGTGCGACCCCCCTCGCGTTTGGCCCCTGATCGAGATAGAGCTTCGTGGAAAAAACGAGCGTGTTGCCCGTCACGAGAGGAATCCGATGATACCCAACTTTAGGGTCCTAGACCATCGGGTGACCTTCCAGGTCAGGTCAATGACCCAAAAATCGGGAAAATCGGGACAGTGTTAGAAAGTCGTAAAGTGTGGCTGCTATGGAGCTTTCCGGGGTGCTGATTACGAATAGGTATCGTGTTAGTTTTGATCAGAGATTATGTCTTTAAGCATTTAGACCAGGTCTGATCGAGATAGAGCTTCGTGGGAAAAACGAGCGTGTTGCCCGTCACGAGAGGAAGCCGATGATACCCAATTTTAGGGTCCTAGTTCATCGGGTGATCTTCCAGGTCAGGTCAATGACCCAAAAATCGGGAAAATCGGGACCTGTTAGAAAGTCGTAAAGTGTGGCTGCTAAGGGTTTTTCCGGGGTTCTGATTACGAATATCGTGTTAGTTTTGATCAGAGTCTTTAAGCATTTAGACCACTGACCAGGTCGGGTCAGGTCAGGTCAGGTGAACCGGTAGGGGTCGTGACGGGTATTCGTAGTACGTGTCAACCGCCTCTGACAGCTTCGTAACATGTTACGAAGGCACCAAAACTACTTCGTAAATGTTCAAATGGTTGCTTAATTCGAAATCAGCTCCAAAAACTAGCATACAAGCATGTAAAACTCGAAAAAGTGAACCGAGGTCACCTGAAAGGTCAATGACCTGACCTGACCTTCAGGTGACCTTAAAATCCGCCCTGATGCATGGGAGCAACATCACATCACATGTTTGAACGTTTGAAACCACACTGAAAAAAAAAATTACTCACTTTTCTGAGTAATGACTGAGTTGCAATTTTGTCCAATGGTAAATCATGGTAAAACTCACTCTAAATCCGCGTACTCAGGTAAAACTCAGGGCGGAACGCAGGTAAAACTCGGGCAAAACTCATTGCAAGTGAGTAGCATGTGAGTAACAAAGTGAGTTGCCATTTTGTCCGATGGTAAAACTCAGATAAAACTCAGTAAGTACTCATGCGTAACTCATGTCCTACTCAGACAACTCAGGCCAAACTCAGGTATTAGTAAGTCATTACTCATGAAAAACTAGGAAGTAACTCACATGTAACTCAGCTGGTACTAATGTATAACTCAGGTGGTAGTACGGCCATAACTCAGTTGGAACTCATCGGTTATTCAGTGAAAACTAGGGCTGTACTCAGGACGTACTCACGTCGATAACTCATACGATACTCGGGTGTTACTCAGGCGCCGCCTGAAACGGCTGATCTGATTCGTTTTATATTGGCTCAAGCCAATGTATAGGCTCGCCGCCCATGATAACAGCTGCCGCATCAGCATTATGCAATATGCATGCATGATGCTGATACAACAGCCACTACCAGGCAGCTAGTCTATATATTGGGATTGGCCAATATATAACGAATCATTGCCCAAAACCAGCATACATATCTGTATTATACCATGCCCGACCAACGTCTAGTCTTGCACTATTCGCCCCAGCCCTTACAAGAAATACATGTTTGTAGAAACGGTCGCATTGCGCTGTATTTCAATTCTGACACACGCCAAACTGCGTCGGGGGGGGGGGGGGGATCGACTCCACGTCAGCTCAGCTTCACTCTTTTGCCAGCTTCTCGACCTCAGTCTTCGCGGCTACAGGTGGCTGGCGCTCAGCATTGAATGGTGTGTGGAGCACATGGATACACACAAACCACAGCGTGTTTCGCACTTTGTGCGCCGTTTGTTGACTGAGCACAAAGTGCGCCGTCGCCCACAGCAAAAGACTCCCTTCCAAACCATGGATCCCCACAAGACTTCCGTTCGCTCCACGATGAGGCGGCACCGTTCGTTTTCTTCGGACTTGTTATGATAGGGGTGATCCAAATTTTCGTCACCCGTGTACGCCACCACTGACGCCTTCTCCGCCAAGATGCAGAGGAGGCTCAATGGGCCGTTCCCTGAAAACACAATAAAAAAGTCAGATTTTCTTTTGCCAGTAAGAGAAACGGAAGTTATAGGGCATGCAAGGTGATTGAAATATCAAAAGTTATCAAGTTACTTCAGCTCAAAATTAATGTTAAACCGCGCCGTGCTGGTGCTCTGAGTTTACCGTGATGTACTGGGGGGAGGGGGTCGTCTTCACGTCCCCTCTTCTAACTCGGCTGTTGGGGTTGGGCCACGTAGCGACACGCCGTAAGCGGCTTTCGAAAAAGCATTAAAGATATTTAAG